ATGTCTCGCAATAGTTCAAAAAACGTTACCTGAAAGACATCCCAATCAAGCTATTACATACAGTAATATTGGTGATGTTCATCGATTAATGGGTAATTATGAAAAGGCACTTGCATTTCATCAAAAAGCATTAAATATTCAAGAGAATGTTCAATGTAATCCTCTGGAATGTGCAACGACATATATAAATTTAGGTGAAACTTATCGTGAAATGAAAGATTATTCAACAGCATTGATATATTTCGAAAAAGGATTAGAAATATGTGAAAAGAAATTACCAAAAAATCATCCTGATTTAGCTGTTGTATATCATAATATGGCAAAATTATATTTATCTACTCGACAATATAATATGGCAATGAAAAATGTTCAACAAGCAGTTGAAATAGCTCAAGAAAAATTACCTTCAACTCATCCTCATCTTTTGGAATATAAAGAAACATTTGAAAAAATTCGAATGAAAATGTAATTCATTATTTTTTTTTTGGTTTACTTGCTCAATAAATTGGTTTTGATTCCTTTTCACTTCCCAACTTTTCTAGGCTCATTTTCGCGCGTACGCGCGCGCGTGACCAGAGAGAGGCCCTATGCGTATGAAACGGGTACACACAGAGCGGACCACGCCGGACTGGTAGGGCAATGTACATAGATGTACCGTACATAATGACGGCAGGGACCTACGTACATTAAAGGCCTTCCCGAGCACTACACTGCTTTCGCCATTCCATGACGAATAGAATCTCTCTCTGGATCAGGTTACGAAGCCACCTGATAAGGCTGTGATATAAATTGGTATCTATCTTCTAGCATAAATAACATAGACTTAACATAATAATAATAGTATACACTAAATGTGTACAACAACGAAGAAAAAAACTATTTCATCTGAAATAAATCATCTATATCTTATTCTAACATTATCTCAATGTAAGTATTGTTATGAAAATTTAATTTAGAATTGTTCTTTCAACTATTAATTTATTTATTCAAGTCTTTCTCAAGATAAATAAGATAATTTTTGAAGCAACATACCCAATCTTGTTATTGGTATAAATCAATAATAAATCATATTCTTTTTTAACATTCTCATGGTTTTTATAATTTCATATAATTCATAAAAAAAACAGATGAATTCTAAAAACATCATAGAATAAATTTCTATCATAAATCAATACATCCTAACATATATTATCATTGAAATCAAAAACATTGTAAAAAAATATATGAATCATAATATAACATCATTGAATGAATGAATGAATTTCATTATAAATTAATGCATTGTAAAGCAATGAATTTAAATAACATCATTGAATAAATTTCATTCTAAAATAATACATTTTAATATAATGATTCAATAAACATCATTGTAAATTAATACATTTTGATGCATCATAAACTGATAAATTTCATTGTAATATAATGGATCTTTATATAATATCATTCAATAAATATCACTGTAAGTAATGATTTTAACAACATATAATAAATATCATTGTAAATTAATATATTTTTATATAATATCGTTCAATAAATATTATGGTAAATTCATGCATTTTAACATAATATTATACAATAAATTTCATTGTAATTTAATACAATATAATGCATCATAAACTTACATATTTCATTTTAAAATAATGCATCTGAATATAAGATCATTCAATAAATATCATTGCAAGTAATAAATTTAACAACATATAATAAATTTCATTGTAAATTAATACATCTTAATATAATATGATTCAATGAATATCATTGTAAATTAATGAATTTTAACACAATATCATACAATAAGTTTCATTGTAAATCAAAACATTTTAATCCATTATGAAATTGATAAAATTTCATTGTAATATAATGCATTTATTGAATTGTACAGAAATGAATTTTAATAATACCCACCCCTAGATTTCGTTCTAAAAAAATGCATCAGTATATAATATCGATCTGTAAATATCATCGAAAATTAATGTATTTTAATTCTTTGCGTCCCAAATTATTTCTACTGGACACTGACACGTCCAGATAAAAACCAGCATGCTCGCATACGGATTCACGTGCGCACACATACACACCCATATCTACTAATTCGATACCCACTACATCCACGCCGTTGAACATTCTTTATTGCTACATTCCAATAAATTACGTAATAATTATTAAACATGTATAGATTTCTTTTTCCTACTATAGAATTCAAACGTTTAACATAACATTATGTAACAAATTTCATTATAAATGTATACATTTTCATACATTATAAATTCATACGTAGCATTGTAAATATATTTCATTTATAATATTGTAAATAATTATAAATTGATAACTGTATGTCATTCATGAATAATCATAATGTAAAATAATACTAATTATTGTAAGTAATATAAAAAAATTGTAAACCGTGAAAAATAAATCATGTGAGTGTCATGTTTTATCTTGATTGAGCATGCTCATGATTTGTTCGATCGAATCGTATGAGAATACTGGTGAAAATGTGTTTCATATATATATATGTTTTTAAACATACATTGCCAATCAAAGACATTCTAATGATGTTGATATCAATTTGACGAACGATAATTGACGATGATGTGCACATTCGAATGTAATTGATTTGATTAATCATCATATGATTAATTGAAATGATGAGACACGAATTAATTTCATCGTTTTTCATATGCATGGATGTGAATACTTGTCCTTTGTTCATATACAGTCCTTCATAGACAATACATATTCTTTTCTTTCTTTTTTTTTGGATCAGAAGAAATTTCTATTCATCATCATCATCATCATCATCATCGAAAAAACAAAAGCAGGGTGGGGGTGTGGGTGTGAATGAAGAACATAGACACACCCACCAACTTGTGTTGCTTTGTTTTTTTTGACGAATTTCCTTATATTTTTTGTTCCTAATACAAACAATTGAATGTCAATTATTATTAGTATAAAATGAGTTTTACTTATTTAGAACTCGACAACAAGATTTCTATGATCAATATTCATCATCATACACTGATTCACATTATTGGCATGGAAATAATTCAAATTCATATGATTTTTATGGTTCAACATTCATCTCATACACTTTTACAACAAAATGGTTTTACTCAACAAGTTTATCTTAAATATAAACAATACTGTCTTGATGGTAAAAAAACGTTGATTGTAGAGAAAAAAAAAGATTATTAGTTCAGTACATATTTACAATATATTTCGAGAGAAACAAGCTACTGGCAAAAAAAAAATTGAAATTATGTTACATTGAACGTAAAGAAAACGAGTCTCTTAATGAATAAAGAACAGTCAACGTATCTAAAAACAACAGTGGAAACTACTCTCCAGTAAAAATCAGAGTCTAAAAATACTTATATTCTGATTTAAATAGCTAATAGAGAATATGTCTGTTGCTATAATTTTCAAAAAAAAACAAAGATTTTACTCTTCTATGGAGTTTTTTTAATAAATACTATCATTCTTATCTACATGATAAATTTGAAAAGCAATAAAATAATCGTCAATGATTAAAAACACTAAGTTTCACTAATCGCCAAACTTTATTATTTCATAGAAAATATTTATAATCGACAGTTATGTTGATTTACAAATAAGATACATTTTGTTTTCTGTAATGATCTAATTTCTAGAAAGCGTTAAACTTGGTCCTGGTCAATCGATGGAAGTGGATACACTCTATCGTTTTTAGTCATTTTTCTTATGAAAAATAATAAGAAAAAAATTGAATATTATTATTTATGTATAGATATGGTGTTAAATGTCTATTTCGATTTTATACATATGATCTAGAAAAACATTTTCGTCCACATGTTTTTGAAGATTTTCAACAAGAAACTCTTTGTAATCATGGAGCTGGCAATAAAATAGATTACACACAAAAAAAAAAAGAAAAGTGTCAATAACAAAAATAATTTTTCTATTTAGGTCAATTATATGGTTTAGAAAAATTCTGGACATTTTAAAAATATTCTTAACAAAAACCAAAAATCAATCCAAAACTTGAAAAAATTTTAAAAAAATATAGAAATCTTGAAGATTTTCGTGTTGATGGTGTATCATTCCCACAACAATTTTTTCCAACAAAATCAAATTATAGTAATTGAAAAAATTTTGTTTTTCTATGATATAAATAATTTCTTTATAGACTATTCCAGCATTCGAAGCAATTGCTGCTGCAGTAGCAAAGAACAGTGATACATCAAATTCATTAAAACCCAATGGTGAACAATATCTGAACGGTGCTCAAATTTTTTCAAGTGGATTTCGATTTATTTAAAAGTATACATGTATTTTTTTTTGCTTTCAAAGTTTATTGTTATTTAATCATTTTCTATGTGTATATTACATTGGTTTGTTATTGTAGTAGATAGATAGATTAAATAGTGATGCATTTTCTTTTTCTATCGATAGAGATATGAAGAATTTTCATATGGTTTCGTTTTGTTTCTGGAACTATTTGCTAATAAATTCATCTCGTTTATTTAATAATATTGGTAAGATATTGAGATAGTATTTTACTTAGATAGAAGAATTTAGTGTTTTAGGAAGAATTGATATTGGTTTAACTATTGCTAGTGGTGTGATTAATTCTATGCTTTATAATGGTAAATATGAAAAGATTTAAAAAAAACTTGTTTTCTTTAAATATAAATATATTCTAGTTGATGGTGGTCATCGAGCTGTTATTTTTGATCGTTTTCAAGGTGTTAAACTAGATGTTATTGGAGAAGGAACTCATTTTATGATTTCATGGCTTCATAGACCAATTATATTTGATATTCGTACACGATCACGATCTGTTCCATCAATAATAGAAATAAAAGGTATAAAAGCTGGAAGAAAACAGTCACCTTCAGGAGAGGGGTGAACATGAGGAAAATGTAAGCTCGCGAAAAAAAGAAGGTAAATACGATGTCTATTGAAACATCAATGAATGTATATGGCTGAAGTATCTTAAAAAATTTTGCGATCATCGATGGTGACTCAACTGATCGGTTTACACCTCTACACTCTCATCATTCACCAATCTTAGGATACTTCATAAAACTTAAAACCGGAAGTCTCCGTTATTTTTTCTTCGTATAAATGAAATATGCATAAATTACATTTTATTATTTTTATTTTAGGTTTACAAACAATTAATATAACATTACGTATTCTTCATCGACCAAGAGCTGAAATTTTACCAAACATTTTTTGCAAATTTGGGTTTAGATTATGAAGAACGTGTTTTACCATCGATTATTAATGAAGTTTTAAAATCTGTTGTACTAAGTCTCAATTTGATGCTATTGAATTGACTACACAACGCACACTTATTTCGCAACGTAATAGTGAATTATTAACAGAACGTGCTGCTCAATTTGGTTTATTACTTGATGATATTTCAATTATAAGATACGATAAAAAAGAGTCTCGAGTTGATTATATTGTTTTTTTTCTTTAAATTAGACACATTTAAGTTTTAGACCTGA